CTTGAGGGTGCGGAGCTTGGGGGTGCTGAGCCTGAGGGTGCGGAGCCTGGGGGTGCTGAGCCTGAGAGTGCAGAGCCTGGGGGTGCCGAGCCAAAGGGTACTGAGTCAGGGGGTACTAAGTCAGAAGGTACTGAGCCTAGGGGTACTGCATCTGCTGGAGGTTCTACAGGTGCCTCGCCACAACAGTCTCGTCGGCGAGAGCCTCTCTCACCACAGCAGCTGCGTGAGTGGTTTGCTCGGCGCACCCGCCTTCGGAGTGACGCTGCCGGAGTTGGAGGCCTTGCCGCTGGAGGCACTAACTCTGGAGGTGCTAGAGCTGGAGGTGCTGGAGCTGGAGGTCCTGGAGCTGGAGGCGCTGGAGCCGGAGGCGCTGGAGATCGAGACCCTGGGGCAGGAGGGGCTGGTGCTGGAGGCGCTGGAGCTGGAGACCCTGGGGTTGGAGGCGCTGGTGCTGGAGGCGCTGGAGCTGGAGACCCTGGAGCTGGAGGCGCTGGAGCTGGAAATGCTAGTATAGGGCGTACTGCACAGAGGCGACTGTTTTTCATTCCACCGCCACCGTCGTCTCTATCGCCACCTGGCTCAGTACTTCGCCAGGTTCTTAGTCTCTCGTCTTCTACTGGCCTTACTCCTCCCTTACTATGTCCACCGCCTAACCACTCGCAGCCACTGCTACAGCCAGCCTCACCACTGCCTGCTCCTTCTCTTTACACTGAGCAGACAGACTCGCTTACAGAGCGTCGTGAGCCTGCGTCTCGTCTGCCTCGCCTGTTTGCGCTGTTCGCAGTGGTCACTGTGTTCCTCGTCAGCATCCTCCTCCTGTCCCCGAAACTCACACTATGGCACTTCGTCCTTCCTCTGTTCCACAGCATGTCAACATGCCGTCCCCTCCTGCGTCCTCTCTTCCTGACGTTCCGGACCCTGAGTCTGACTTGGTTCGTGCTGCCAGCCCTACTGTCACACGTCTCCTAGCCACTGTTGTCACTGACCCTTCGTTTGAGTCCACTGCTGCGTCTGCCTTAGTTGCTGAGCTTGTTGACTTTGCTGTTGCGTGTCGTCTCGACTACGCCACTAGTCTTGTTGCTGAGTCTGAGTCTCACTGTCCTCTGTCCGTCGGGGATGAGTGTGCCCCTGGCACAAACATCATTGGGGATAGGCAGGAGGAATTTGAGTGTCTTGCAGCTGCTGTACCTCATCTCGTGGCCATGCTACTTGCCCCTGAGGGAGACCCGGATGCACTGGACATCCCGACCCCACGCTAACGATTACGGGTCCCTACTACTCTCAGTGGCAGACGGCCATGGATGCAAACATGGCATCCTAGAAGTCCACAGGCACTTATCTCGACGCAGTTCCCCTTCCAAGGGCGAACATAGTCGATGGCATGTGGATTTTCAGGGTGAAGCGGCCGCCGGGTTCTCTGCCTGTCTTCAAGGCTCGTTACGTTGCATGAGACTTTAGTCAGCGACCGGGAGTTGACTTCTTCCAGACCTTCTCCCCTACCTCGAAGATGACCACTCTTCGGGTGTTGCTGCACGTTGCCGCTCAGCGTGACTACGAGCTTCACTCTTGGCTTCAGCACAGCTTTCTTACACGGCAGACTGCACGAGGAGATCTAGCTGCGCCGCCCACCTGGCTTCACTGGGTTGTTTCCTGCAGGTACCCAGTGGAGCCTCCGGCGGCCAGTCTACGGTCTCCGCTAGGCGCCTCGTGAGTGGCACGACACACTGAGGACAACACTTGCACCTCTTGGGTTTGCTCCTTCGACTGTAGACTCGTCGTTGTTTCTGGGCACCGAGACTTCGCTGCCGCCGTTCTACATCCTCGTGTGCGTCGACGACTTGGTTTTTGCCACTGCTGACACTGAGGCACTGGCCCTTGTGAAGTTGGAGCTGCAGAAGAGACACACGTGCACAGACCTGGGTGAGTTGCGCAGCTATCTTGGCTTGCAGATCACTCGAAACAGAGCACGGCGCACCATCACCCTGACTCAGTCACACATGGTGCATCAGGTCCTTCAGCGCTTCGGCTTCCGGTTCTCCTCACCACAGTCCACTCCTCTGGCTACAGGTCATTCGCTCTCAGCTCCACCTTTGGAGGAGTTCGTAGAGCCGAGTGGCCTGTATCCAGAGCTTGTGGGTTGCCTCATGTACCTGATCACCTGCACTCGACCTGACCTTGCATACCCTCTTAGCATCCTGGCACACTACAATGCGCCCGGGAGACACCGACCAGAGCACTAGGAAGCCGCTAAGAGGGTGTTGCGCTACTTGTGCAGTACATCGGGCATGGGGCTTGTGCTTGGAGGACGGGATCTAGTTGTCCCCACTGGAGACTCTGACGCGTCTTGGGTTGACGACCTGGCTACGCAGCAGTCGTCACAGGGTTACACCTTCAGCCTTGGCTCTGACTCTGTTTCTTGGCGGTCTACCCGCTCGTCTTCTGTTCTCAGCCCCAGTTAAGAGGCTGAGATCTACGCAATAGCCATGGTTGTACACAAGTTACGCGGGCTCACCTACCTGCTGACCGACTTGGGAGAGCAGCCTCGTGTTCCTCCAATTCTGTACATAGACAACAAGGCCGCTATGGTAGTAGCACAGTTTGGAGCACAGAACGAAGCACATCGCTCTACGTTACTTCCTTGCTCGAGAGTTGCAGCAGCGTGGTCAACTTCGTCTTGCTTACGTGGCCACACGGGCCAACACTGCTGATATATTCACCAAGGCACTTCAGTCTGGTGATCATCAGCGTTTCTGTACTGCTCTAGGCCTTGTGCCTGCTTTGTCTCACTTGCTTTCCGCGTGACTTTGCTTGTACTGTGATCTTTATATATATATATATACCTGCATGCATGCGTACTCTTGCTAGGTTATGATCACTGTACTGTTTGCTCTCTTTTATATAACTCTGTATGAGAACTGGCCTTGTGACCATTTGCTTGTGCTGGGACTGTGTGGAGCTTCATGATCCACCTTGAGCTTACTATGCTTTTCTTGACTGGTCTTGTTCTCCCCCACTTTGCCTATGGGGGTGTGTCAATATATCACAATATTCTTGTTGTGTAGGCTGTAGTGGGGTAGCACATAAGGGGTACAACCCAATTAGGGTTAGTACTTGTACACAGTTTTGATCTCAATGCATTCATTCTCGTTCAATCTTCTGACACAAACCTGTTCCCGCTCTCTTCATTTCAAATGTGCCTGCTTGTACCGGTCCAGATTTGATGGTGTACAGGAATGTCTTCTCATTTAGTTTCATATCCCGACAATTTCAACGAGGCTCTAAGTTTTGATGCGCTGTTAGCAGTAGCGGGCGAACAACGGCTGCCGTTGTATGCGGGTTGATGCTTACAGTAAGGAATGTTAGAAATTGTATTTCTTTATATAACTGCATATTAGTATAGCTAGTGTAGTATGTATTCTCTTGTTGGTGGTATACCCCTCCTGACCACCTTCCCTAACCCTATATCATGTATCTCTCTCACTAGTCCAACCCCTTCCTTTGGCCAAACTTCTCTCCATCCAAACCCTAAGTTCCTAGCTCTCTAAGTTCCTAGTCCCTACCTTCTTAACATGGTACAGAGCAGGTTCTTTCCCGGAACCTTCCTTATTTTTTAAGAATTATGGGCCCGCCCGTACAACAGCGCGAAATGCGCTATTTTTTCTCATCGCGCCCGTTGCGCCCGTCGCCCGTCACCCGTCGCTGCCTTGCCCGTCACGCCCGTCGCTGCGTTGCCAGTCGTGCCCGTCGCTGCCCCGATTCCCGTCCCCCGCGGCCCCCCGTTTCGACGCCCCGCGGCCCCCCGTTCCGTCGCCAGCGCCCGCGCCAGCCCGGACCGCAGGCGCCGCCGCCAGCGTGGCCCGTCAGCGCGGACGCCACCACCGCGGCCAGCCGCCACCGCCAGCGCCAGCAGCAGCTACCGCCAGCGCCAGCAGCAGCCAGCCGCCCCACCGCGGCCAGCCGCCCGCGCCAGTGCCAGCAGCAGCTACCGCCAGCGCCAGCAGCAGCTACCGCCAGCGCCAGCAGCAGCTACCGCCAGCGCCAGCAGCAGCTACCGCCGCCCTGCCCCCTCCCGCCCGCCCTCCCTTCCACTGCTTCCGTCGTGGGGGGGGGGGGAGGAGGGGGAGATGTGGGGGTGGCGGGTGTGAGGTTGTGAGGAGCCAGCACCTCCTCCCTCCCTTCCCTCTTCCTCTCTCCCTGCAGCACTTGTTGCTGTAGGGGGGGGGGGGGGAGAGAGGGTAAGGGGGGATGAGAGAGGTTAAGGGGGGATGAGAGAGGTTAAAAGGGGGGAAGAATGAGAGAGAGAGAGAGAAAGGGTGTCTTCTTTCCTGTTTTTTTACTTTCGTAATGTTTTCTCGTGGTTCGTTCTTTTCTCAGTCGTTTCTGGGCGTGGTCACCCAGAGTCGCGCACACCGGGCATCCACTGCGGGGGTTAAACCGCAGGCGGGCATTCCATCGTGTGTTGTATCGGTGGGCCCAGCTGCGGCACGGTGACGACTGCACTTAGGGTAGAGCGCCTCTCATTGGCTATGCTTGTATGCAGTTAAGGGGGGATGTCAGAAATTGTATTTCTTTATATAACTGCATATTAGTATAGCTAGTGTAGTATGTATTCTCTTGTTGGTGGTATACCCCTCCTGACCACCTTCCCTAACCCTATATCATGTATCTCTCTCACTAGTCCAACCCCTTCCTTTGGCCAAACTTCTCTCCATCCAAACCCTAAGTTCCTAGCTCTCTAAGTTCCTAGTCCCTACCTTCTTAACAAGGAATGCCAAAAAAAATCCTTATAACGTCAGAGGATGCAGCAATTCATGCAAAAAACTGCAGTATAGGTTGCAGAAACACAATACCTACACAAAATACAGTACAAAGCACGTGCATGGGAGACAATTCATTTATGAACATCAGCTACCGTGCTTCGTTTTCAATCCACACATAACCACCACCTGGGGGCCAAGCCAATAGTGAAGACATGGTGGGTCAGGTCAGGTCAGGTCAGGTCAGGTGTCCGGTGCTGTAGCAGGCGGTGCAGAGTCGGAGGGGGGCACAATATCGGAGCAGAATCGCTGGGTAACCGCAGACTGGTACTCCACAGGCACGTTGGCACAGAAGCGTGCTGCCTGCTCTGACTGGATGGAGGGCGCCACGAGGGGAATGAGTGCCTGTAGGCGCTCCACGGACCCGCGCTGCGCCTCCACCACCTTCTCCAGGGTCTGCACTGCGCTCAGGGCTGCCCGCTTGCTCGCCTCCGCCTTGACCGCTGCGCTCTCCAGCTCCTGCCGCCCGCTCGTTGCTGCTGCCAGGCGCGACCTCAGCATCTCCACCTGCCAGGGGGCACCAGGGGGGGGACAGACAACACGGGGCAGCACGGGGCACATTTGAGTCGACTAAAAAGTCACTTTCTGCCCGCTCGTTGCTGCTGCCTGCCACGGGGCACAAGAGGCACCACAGGGCACTGCAGGACACACAGCTCACATGCACCCACCTCTTGCTTGCTCGCCTCTACACATGCACCCATGGCACCTGCACTGCCATGCATTACATGACGCATTCCGCCTTGCTATGCTGGCAGAAGGGATACACACCTGGGTGGCATGCGACGCACACCTGGGTGGCATGCGAGGCACACCTGGGTGGCATGCGAGGCACACCTGGGTGGCATGCGAGGCACACCTGGGTGGGCGTGTGAGGCACACCTGGGTAGCGTGTGAGGCACACCTGGGTGGGCGTGTGAGGCACACCTGGGTGGGCGTGTGAGGCACACCTGGCTGGCATGGGAATTGTTAGGTTTGAGAAACATCATATTTACCACACATGGGTGGCATGGGAATTGTTAGGTTTGAGAAACATCATATTTACCACACATGGGTGGCATGGGAGGAACACCTAGGTGGCGTGTGAGGCACACCAAGTACTGTTCCAAGGGAGGCATTACCTGGGTGGCATGTGAGTCATCAGTGAAGAAAGAGTAGAAGGCGGTGGCAGGGATGATGACGGCGAGGGCGATGGTGGCGCCAAGCAGCCACTGCAGCGAGTGCACGCGGTCCACCAGCTTCTGCTTCTGCTCCACCGCCATCGCCTCCGCTGCCTCCACGTACTCCTTTAGGCGTGCTGCTGCACTCTCATCGTTCTGTGCTGCTCCCCCCTCCTGCACCTGCTCTCGCCAGAGTCATGCCCACGCACGCACAGACACGCGCGCGCACACACACGCACACGCACATACACATACACGCACATGCACACACACACGGACACACACACAAACATAGGTGTACGCACGCACACACACATGCACACAAACACACACGCGCACACACACGCACACACGCACACGCACGCACACACACGCACACACACACACACACGCACATGCACAAACATGCACACACAGGGAACATAGTACGGTCAGGGTGTGGAGCGGTGGATTTGGGATGGAATGGCAAAGGGTGGGGATTGAACGCAGAGGCAATGGTGCAACGCAGTTGGAGATGAGAGCAGCAAGCGGAGTGAGCAGTGTGAGCAGCAGGATAAGCAGCAGGGCGGGCAGCAGGGCGAGCAGCAGGATGGAGTGGGCAGGGCGGGCAGCAGGGCAGCACTCTCACCTGGGTGCGGGCTTGGTCGAGCTGGTGGCGCATGTGGTGCGTCTCCTCTATCAGCCGCGCACTGCGCTCCCTCACTGCCGCCGCCTCACTGCTCACTCGTTGCATCAGCACCCTGTAGTGCGGACAACGCAGGGGCATAAAGCAGCAAGGGGGTGGGGCAGAGACGGTGACGGCACATGAGACAGGCAGCAGCACATGTCAAACAGATGGCAGGGACGGTGACAGACAGGCGGGTCACGATGAGATGAGAAGAGAGAGATGACAGGGAGGGCCGCACGGCATTGCCCGTAAGCACAGCACAGCAGGCGTGGGCGTGGCGGGCACTTGCCTGAGCAGCTCGCCCGGTTGCCCCTCGGCCTGCTCCATCTCCATCTCCACGCCCCTCTCTGCCGCCAGCGCTGCTGCCTCGGCTCCCATGGCGCCCATCACGTCGCTCGCTGCCCCCAGCTGCGCGCGCCACGCCTCCTGCACCTCGCCCTCGCGCCCCTCTGCGAATGCCAGCTCCGCGTTCAGCCGCGCCAGCTGTTAGCCACCACCGCACACAACACACGCCGCATGGAGAGGGGAGGGGAACAGGACAAGAGGGAAGGGGAGGCAGGGGGAAATGTTTAAGTCCCGAAGAACACTTGCCTCCTCTGTCATACCGCTATGCGACCATGTCCTATGCGCCATGGCTATCCTTCCCCCAACTTTCCTTTCCCCAGTCCCCAATTTCTCCTGCCCACCCCCCATCCCTCCTCCCCCCCCCATCCCTCCTGTCACCCCCCCCCCGGCCCCCCATCCCTCCTGCTCTACCCCCAATCCCTCCTGCCCCCCCTCATCCCTCCTGTCCCCCTCCCATCCCGCCTCCCCCCCCCCATACCTGGCGGGCCATCTCCTCCATCTGGGCGGAGAACACAGCAGCACGCGACGCCAGTTCCGAGTCCTGGTTGCGCAGCTCTGCCAGCTTCGCCTCCATCTGCTCTGTGCGCGCGCGCTGCCGCGCCTCCTTCTCAGAAAGTTCCTTCACCAGCGCCATGAGCTGCTTCGCGCGCTCCCCGCTCGCCACGCCCTCCGCCGCGCGCTCCGCCTCGCGCATGCGCAGCCGCTCCAGCTCGCCGCTCAGCTGCCCCACGCGCGCGCCCGCCTCCGCCGCGCTGCCCTCCAGGGTCTTTACTTGCTCCGTCAGCAGCGCCGCTGCGCGCGCGGACACCGCCTCCTGCTCCTCCGCCTTGCGCGCGCGCGCCTCCAGCTGCGCCACCTGCTTCTCCAGCACGTCCGCGCGCCCCGTCGCCTTCTCCGCCACGCCCGTCGCCGCCTTGAGCCGCTCGCTCAGCTGTGCCACCTGCGCGCTCAGCGCCGCCATGCGCTCGCGCGCCTCCGCCGACTCGCTCACGCTCTCGCCCTTCGCCCCCTCCAGCTCCTTCAACGCGCGCCGCTTGTCCTCCTCCGCCGCCAGCGCCGCCGCCTCCGCGCGCTGCGCGCGCTGCTCTTCCTCCTTAACGCGCGTGGTGAGCGCTTCAATGCTCTTTTCCGCGCGCGTCACCGCCGCCCACTGCTCCTTCACCTCGTCCTTGGCGGCCTGCAGCTCCATGCGCAGCCCCTGAATCACCGTCGCCGCGCGCGACCCGCGCTGCTCGTCCGCCTCCACGCGCGCGCGCAGCGTGCGCACCTCCCCCTCCAAGCGCTCCTTCTCCGCGCGCCCCTCCTGCTCCACGGCGCGCATGCGCTCCCCCAGCAGCTCCATGCGCTCGTTGGCCTGCGCCAGCGCCTCCGTGTACAGGCGCTCCTTGCGCTGAAGCGCCTCCACTTGCCCCGTCAGCTCCGCCACCTGCTGCCCCGCGCGCTGCAGCGTCGCCGCCTGCTCGTCCGCCACGCGCGTCACCCCCTCCAGCTCCTTGCTCAGCGCCGCCACGCGCCGGTTCGCCGCCGCCAGCGCCTCGCTGCTGCCGCCCGCGCCCGCCGCCGCGGGGGGGGCGGAGTGCGCGGGCGCGGGGGCCTTGGCGGAGTCGCTCCAGCGGATGGGCGTCAGCAGGCGCTGCGAGGGGCGCAGGGCAGGGCGCGGCAGCAGGGCGGGCAAGCAACGGGTGGGTGCAGGCGGTGGGGGTGGAGTAAAGCGAGTGAAGGGGCGAGAGCGCATGTGAAGGGGCGAGAGCGCATGTGAAGGGGCGAGAGCGCATGTGAAGGGGCGAGAGCGCATGTGAAGGGGCGAGAGCGCATGTGAAGGGGCGAGAGCGCATGTGAAGGGGCGAGAGCGCAATTGAAGGGGCGAGAGTGCAATTGAAGGGGCAAGAGCGCATGTGAAGGGGCGAGGGTGCGGAGACGCCTTACCTTGGCGGGACCAGCAGCCCTCCGCTCCGCCTCCTCTGCTGCCTGCTGCTCCCTCGCCTTGCGCTCCGCCGCCTGCAGTGCGCGCAACCAGGGGTGCACGGGCAACCAGGGGCCATCAGGCAAGCAGGGGCAATCAGGGGTGCAGGGCGGCGACATGAGATGCAGTGTGGTGAGACGTGGCAGTGGAGGGGCAGAGAGAGACCAGCGCGGAGAAAAGGGGCAAGCAGGTGAGAGGAGGGGCGGGGCCAGATGAGCGCTAGAGAATGGAGGGGGGGAGAGGTGGAGAGGTGGAAGGCTCGAGGCACTCACCTGGGCGATAGACTCTGCGAAGCTGACGTCAGCAGCGAGCCACTTGGCAAAGGCTTCGTTGATGTAGGCTCGCTGGGCTTGCTGCGCGCTCAGAGAGACACGTGGGGGGGGAAAGAGGGGCACCGAGTGGGGAGAAGATGCGGTGAGGAGGTGCGGGATTCTTGGATTTGCAGGGAGGTGCGCAGCACGCGAGCATAGCAGGGCGGGAGGAGAGAGGGGGAGGGGGAGGGAGGGGGAAGGGCAGGCGGGAGGGGAGGGGGAAGGGGAGGGGGGAAGGGGAGCACACCACCCAGTCGGAGTTGGAGTCGCCTGGCTGCCCCGTGCGCACGCGCTGGCGGTAGTTGCTCTCCGCGATCTCTATCACGCGCGCTGTCGCCCCCGCCAACACCTTCTCCATCGCCTGGGCACCGCCATGGGGGACAAAGAATGAGGACAAGGAGACACGGCAAGCGGGGGGAGGGATGGCATGATGGCGTGCAGGCGATGAAATAGCGAATGCCAATGGTGATGCGTACCCTTGGGCGGCCCTGCAAGATATGCAAGTGCCAGCCTGCACTGCACCCTTGGCACCACTAACCCACCCGTCAACTCTCCCACTAACGGCTACCCCGCATGCCTCTCATGGGGCTACCCCATACAGCCCTCCCCCGCGCGCACCTCCGTGAGCACGCCCATGGGCGGGCTGATGCCGGCGCGCCTCTCCGCCACCAGCGCCGAGGCGGCGTCCGCGGGCATGGCGCGCACGAACATGAGGTATCTGCGCGCGCACAGAGACACACGAACATGAGATACCTGCGCGCGCACAGCATGGTTGGTGCACACAGATAGGGGACGAAGGGTGTGCTCAAACAGTCGCCCACTCATGCCCGTGAGGTGCCACACGCTTGAAACCATGTTACCGCTCTGATGTTTTATCCCATGCCACCGTTCCTTCGCTTTACCCATGTCACCGTTCCTTCGCTTTACCCATGTCACCGTTCCTTCGCTTTACCCATGTCACCGTTCCTTCGCTTTACCCATGTCACCGTTCCTTCGCTTTACCCATGTCACCGTTCCTTCGCTTTACCCATGTCACCGTTCCTTCGCTTTACCCATGTCACCGTTCCTTCGCTTTACCCATGTCACCGTTCCTTCGCTTTACCCATGTCACCGTTCCTTCGCTTTACCCATGTCACCGTTCCTTCGCTTTACCCATGTCACCGTTCCTTCGCTTTACCCATGTCACCGTTCCTTCGCTTTACCCATGTCACCGTTCCTTCGCTTTACCCATGTCACCGTTCCTTCGCTTTACCCATGTCACCGTTCCTTCGCTTTACCCATGTCACCGTTCCTTCGCTTTACCCATGTCACCGTTCCTTCGCTTTACCCATGTCACCGTTCCATGGCTTTACACGTGTACTCCCCCCTATCTCCCGCGCACCCAGCCTCGGTCCCCCCGCGCGCGACTCACCCGATGGCGATGAGCGGCGAGATGCGGTCGCCCGCGGAGCACTGCAGCAGCACCGTGTGCCCCGCCGCCACCAGCGCTGCCACCACGCGCACCACCTGCGGCAGCATCAGCGCCTGCCGCCCATGGGGGACGGGGATGGGAGGTAGAGCAGAGTGGAGGGGAGAAGCGAGGATGGAAAGAGCGTTGAGGTGGAGCGGAGCAAGTGGAGAGACGGAGGAGAAAGAGGAGAGGCCATGGTAGGGGAAGCACTTTAAGCGCCTCACCTGCTCCGTGGCGGCGTGCGCCTCACCTGCGCCGTGGCGGCAAGCGTCTCACCTGCGCCGTGGCGGCGAGCGCCTCACCTGCGCCGTGGCGGCGTGCGCCTCACCTGCTCCGTGGCGTCGTGCGCCTCACCTGCTCCGTGGCGGCGTGCGCCTCACCTGCTCCGTGGCGGCGTGCGCCTCACCTGCTCCGTGGCGTCGTGCTCCTTGACGGGCACCCACACGGCCACCACGCCTTGCTCCTCCAGCCGCCGCCGCTCCTCGTCCCAGCTGCTGCCGCGCGCCTTCATCGCGCTCTCCTCCTGCACCACGCCGCCACCAGAGTCATACGCACACGCACACGCACGCCATGTCAGCACGCGTAGAAATGCCCACGAGATGTGAGCAAGCGTGAAACTGCACGGACGTTGGCATGAGCGACGTTGGCATGAGCGACGTTGGCATGAGCGACGGGGTTGAGTTGAGTGCGAAGCACCCGCGGCGTGGGCGGGGCGGGTCGTACCTCGACGTTAACGACGGCCGTCATGCCGAACTGCGTCTGCAGCGCGCGCACATCCTCCGCGCTTGCCGTCGTGACGCTCCCGCCAATCGCCACCTGCTCCGTCACCGCGGACCACAGCGGGTCTGCGCGCAGCACTGCGCGCACCACGCGCGCGGGGAGACACCACCGGCGGGGGGGATGGCACGATGACGGAGGGGGTGGAGGAGAGGTAAAGGGGGAGGGGGAGTTAGAAGGGTAGGCGAATGAAGCCGGCGGTTCAGGAACCGACTCGTGGCAGGGTCAAGACATCCGCGCGGCACGGGAGCAGGAATGAAACCGATAAGGGGCGACGGTCGCGGAAGCAAAGCAAATCGGCCCTCGGGCAATTCACACGCGTGCGCACGCCCATGCGCCCGCCCATCCGCATCTCCCTACCCGAGCCGTTCAATTGGAGCCGCTCGCTCTGCGGAGTCTCCGCTTCGGCGCTCGCGCGAACAACCGCGGACCTGCGCCCCCTGTCCGCGCGGCTCCCGGGTGGGAAGGGCGCGGCGGAGGACCTGAGCGCGCGCAGTTGGTGCGCTTGCGGGGCAGCGGAATGCGAGAGTAGTGCAATTGCTGGGAGGTGGTGGGCGGAGTCGAAGCGGTGAGCGTGGCATGGCGCACATGGCTGCACATCCGCGCGCAGCACGGTTTTGGAGCTTGCGCCGAGCGCGGAAAGCATGGTGGCGCTGGAAGGCTGCGAGCGGCGAGCTTATGTGCTGTGGCTCGATGAATTCACCCGAAGAAACGTAAGAATGCTTTTTTTTTTTCGGGGCTGCGGCGTGGCCGGAGGGCTGGACTGGAAGCAGAACACAAAACAGCGTAACGCTATAGATGACTAAACTCTACGCACTTGGCATTTCCAAGAAAACTACCATTTCCGTGGTGGTGCAGGGCAGGAGACGCCGAGAGCGCGAATTGGTGGTGAAGAGGGGGGATTGCAGCGAGTGAATGTGGCGTGCGGGAGCGGGGTGCGTGCCGTGGCGTGGTGGCGAGAATGGGTTTGGACGGATTTGAAGGTAAGGGGGGGCGAACGACGGTCACCAACGAAACGATTCGCGCCCTCGAAACTTGTTGGAACACCAGTCGAGGATAGCGGACGGTCTCCCTCGCAACGACAGGCCAAACGGGCAGATATTGACGTCAAAATCTTCTGCCACGTTGGCGGACTAGCTGTTCAAGTCCCCCAGGGAGATGGGTTCAGGAACTTGCCGCATCTGCCGTTGATCTCTACAGCCCTCGCCCAATCGTGGGGCTCCCCAGCACAAGGGGAGTGTCATTGGCCCCCCAGCGGCAAACCGCTTCGCGCGGGCACAAACCCACAGCCAATGCTGTACGGTGTAGGCCGAAATCAAGGGTCAAGGATTAGAGATGGATTAGGTGGTTGACAGCCATTGAACACCGCTGCCGCGCCGCCCACCATATTGTATCCGCGCCAAAGCTGCTCACAACTCTCTACAGTCTTGTACTACACTTCCAATCCTCAACTGAAATACATGCTCATTGCCATGGCTTTAACAGGAGCCAATAACTATGATCGCCATCAAAAGCTTGAATACAAACCCAGAAGCCAATCACGCTCCATGAGATGCTGCTACAGGAACTCCGTTGCCACAGAGGAGAATGTCGTTCTCAGGCAAGAAACAGGGGTTGCGAATCTCAAGACGACTTCCTTTGAGGCGGCACATTTCTTTGCTTCAGAATGCCCTTGTCCTGAGTGAATCGTGTCAGTTCCGAGGCAGATGGACAAGGAAAAGTGCACTGGTGAAGTGAGGTTTGTGAAAAACATACAACAAACTTGTTGCACATCTACACACGAGAGGCACAGAATGATAACAGCAGCGCATTGATACATGCGTACACACAACAAGCGTGCAGCAGCGATTGGAAGGTGGTTCATTTGAGGGCGTGTACTAGCGATGGGAAGGTGGTGCCTTTGAATGCATGTACCAGCAATGGGAAGGTGGTGCCTTTCGGGACGTGTACCAACGATGGGAAGGTGGTACATTTGAAGACGTGCACCAGCGATAGGAAGGTGGTGCTTTTGAGGGCGTGTACCAGCCAACGGAAGGTGGTGCCCTCGGAGGCATGTACCACCCATGGGAAGGTGGTGCCTTTCAAGGCGTGTAACTGCGATGGGAAGGTGGTGCCTTTGAGGGCGTTATCAGCAATGGGAAGATGGTGCATTTGAGGGCGTGTACCAGCAATGGGACGATGTGCCTTTGCGGGCGTGTACCAGCGATGGGACGATGTGCCTTTGCGGGCGTGTACCAGCAATAGGAAGGTGGTGCATTTGAAGGCGGAGACGAACTCCTCATGCAGCGCTGCCAGCCATACGCTCCTCCTTCACACGCGCCTCCTCTTGAATCCACTCCATCTGCTCCTTCATGCTCTGCAATGCCTGCGGTTCACAACGGTTCATGAAGGCACAGTGGGAGTGCAATAGGTGGTATACCATGGCAAGGGAGGGCACGGGGGGAATAGTGCAAAGAAATACCTCTAGTCACAGCACAAGTGATGCGTCACAAAATCATCTACCTAGCAATTGGCGAGTGTAAGTGAGTAGCACGGCTCACCTGGCGGGTGTCAGCAGCGACGGAGAACATGTGCGCGCTGCACTCAAGCTCTCGAGCCCCAGCGATTGGTCGCACTTCACCAGGCCCCACCGCAACGACTCCCTCTCCATCTCCAGCTCGTGCACTCTCCTCTCCACCTCGTGTAGCGCGTGTCCCACGCCAGTCGGGGCAAATAAGGAATCGGGGAGGATGATGCTGTGCTGGTAGTCCTGTCGCCAACCTGGTATCATCCTGGCCACCTTGTCAATCTTACCACCCCTTCCCTCCCTCCCCCAACTTAAGCAAGTCCACCTCACCTCCTAATAGCTCCACGCGCGCATGCACCTCCCTCAGCCACTGCTACGCACTCTGTTGCCCCGCCACCGCCACTACTGTTGCCGCCCTCTCCTCCTTTGCCGCCGCCTCCACCTGCTGCCTCCCTGCTTGTGCCTCCCTCGCCCACCGAGCTGCCTCCTCCAGTGCCTGGGGAAAGGGGAAAGAAGGAATAGAGGAGAGAGGAGGTCGCGGTGATGACAAGGGCAGTGAGAGATTGGGGAACAATACCAAGTGCAGCAGCGAGAGATCATGGTGAGTGTGTCAAAATGCTCGTACTGGGATGAGGGTGTCAAATTGCTCGTACCGGGACGAGGGTGTCAAGCCGCTCGTACTCAGGATGAGGATGCCTACCTGCTTGTACCTGGGATGAGCAGGTTGGCACCCTCACTCAACCGCTCCCCAGTTCCTCACACACCAATTGAGCCCCTCGTTCGCCCCTCCACAGCCACTCACCCTACCTACCTGCTGGGGGGCTTGGAGTTGCGCCTTGCCTATCTGCTGGAGAACTTGGAGCTGCGCCCTGCTGGCAGGTTGTTGACCTGCAGTGTTGGCGAGCCGAATCCCAGTTGCGTTGGCACACCGTCGACGTGCTACATTGGCAAGTCGCCCCCGTGCTACGGTGGAGGTTGACCAACCTGGTGGCTAGATTGCTATGTTCTTGCATTTACTTTTGTTCTCAACCTTCCTAGTGAAACTCTTGAAAAAAAAAAAAAAAAAAAATTAAAAAAAAAAAGCAGTTTTTTTTTTCTTTTTTTTTTTTTTTCTCGCCGCTGCGACCTTCCAGCCGGCGACACTCATACTTCCATAGCTGCGGCCCTCCCGCCGCCGCCGCCTGTTCCTCCCGCCACCGCAGCCATCTTGCCGCCTCCGTCGCCGACGTTCGCGCTTCGCTGCTGCGGCCATATCTCCGTGCCGCTCGCGCCCCGCTCTCCGCAACCCTCCTGTCGCCGCCACTCGCCGTGTCCCTCGCGTCGCCGCCTTTCGCCGCCGCGGCCATCCCTCTCGCACTCCCCTCACCTCGACTCTCCCGTCGCCGCCTCCCACTGGCGCGGCCATGTTGCTGCCACCACTCGTGCTCTTCTCGCTGCGACCCTCCCATTGCCGCCTCTCACCATTGCGACCACTTCAACGCCGCCGCTCGCCGCGACCCTCCCATCATCGCCTTTCACTGTCTTGGCCATCTAGTCACTACCGCTCATGTAACAACCCAACCCAACCCCCTGGTCTCGATTACATCGAACCAGCTGTGGGGGGGGAATGGGGGAAACGTGATTGATTGATTCAAGGGAAGCGAGAGTTGGATTAAAGTTTGGGGGATTGAATGGCAATCCAACCAATCAGAAACAGCCATGTGGAAATTCTGATGGAACATACGCGATTGGATTGAAATGGTTGGTTTTCAGCCAAACCAGAAACAACACACGTAGGTTCAACCTAACTTGATTCAACCAATTAGAACAATTGCATCCAAAGTGAGTCGACATCATTTCTGCCGCTCACGGCAATTGCAGCCAATAAAAACAACACCTGTTTGTGATAACTATGTATTGTTTATCCTTGCTGCAAAAAAAAAATTGTTGAACTCAATCATTGCCACATAGACAAAGGCCATGGAGCTGCACCCTTCCTTGCCATGGGGAAGGTGGCTGCACCCCAAGGAGTAGTAAGAAGGGGTCTGGGCCTTCCAAGCTGATTCTCCATTTCCATTTCCCCAACAACTCAAGCTGGGAAAGGGATTGCTCTCACTCTTTTTTCTCCTCCATGGTTTGTGACTCACTTCTCCACTACTTCCAGACTTGGACAATTTCAGTAGCTACTATTATCAAGTTTGTACAAAAACACTATTATCATGTATAAATGCCCTTTCTAGCTGCAGATACGTTATAGCTCGCGCTCCCCTCGCCGCGGCCCTCCCGACGCCCCCTTGCCGCTGTAGATACGTCGACGCCTCTTGCCGCTGCGGCGATTTCGCCGCAGGCACTCGCGCTCCCCTCGCCACGTCTGTCCCGTCGCTGCTTCCCGTCGCCGCGGCCACCTCGCCGCCACCGCTCACTCTTCCCTCGCCGAGGCTTTCCCGTCGCCGCCTCTCAATGCCGCAACCATCTCGCGGCCACCGCTCGCACTCCCGTCGCCGGCGCCCGCGCCTCCTCGCCGCGACCCCTCTGACGCAACCGCTCCCACCTTCGCCGCCACGGCGGTTTCGCCGTCGCCGCTTGTGCTCCCCCTCGCTGCGACCCTCTCGTCACTGCCTCTCGCCGCCGCGGCCATCTCCCCACTGCCGCCTAAACTCCCATCGCCGCCGCTCTCGCCTTTGCCTCTGCGGCTCTTTCTCTGCTGCTGTTCGCGCTCCCCTCGCCGCGGCCCTCGCCACCGCAGCCCTCTCCGCGGCCGTCGCCTCCACTTTTGTAACCACGGCCCTCCGTTGCCGCCTGCCCTCCCACCACTCCTCCTCCTCTCCCTCCCTTCCCTCTCTCCATTCAGTAGTAGCAGTCGGATATGTCGCAGCAGCAGCCGGGGCGGCAGTGGTAGTAGTGGTAGCAGCAGTAGCAGGGGCAATAGCAGCGGCAGCAGCAGTAGCAGCAGAAATAGCGGTAGCAGTAGCAGCAACCTCCTTGGCCGCTGTGGGTCCTCCTTCCTCTCTCCCTCTACCCATTGACACCTCCGCAGATGAATCCACCTTTTGTTTTTACTATTTTGATGGAAGATGCCTACATTCTCCCTAGTGCGTCCTCGACGTGCTCCTTTGCCACCCACAAGCTCTTCCTCCTACCATGCCTACTCACCCTGGCAA